TCAAAATGTCTTTAACATCATAAAAAGTGCGCAATCAACAGGTGGGTCCAAACTTTTAACTGCTACTGCATCTATATTTATATTTATGCCACAGACACATTCATAAACAGCTGTAGCGTTGGTATTTTGATGCATATGGACTGTGAGTGATTTGTTTCTGCTCCGTGGTCTTATCTGCTCTGATGTGTCGGCCTCCTGATTATCAGCGGAGAGAGAGATGATTATTTATGACAGAGAAACATGTTATTATGCACGGCCGGTATAGGACATCATCAAGCCTCTGATTGGAAACCTTTGAAAATGTCATAGTGATACATTTTTATGAATATTAAAAACCCATGCGTTGCCCATGATTACTTTGATCTGGAAGTATTATATTCCAGTGCTGTTAAACACAAAACAGGCGGAATGCAGCTCAATGGGGCGACAAGCTCAGAAATAAATCTTTAAAAAGCTGCAGAAACGCTGAAGGATCTCTGCCGTAATCGCGCCTTTTAAGAATTGCAGCCAAACAGCTGAAGAATGAGTTGAGAAATGCGGGGCGAGCGAAGCCACAGTGACTTATCAGCAGAGCTAATTCAGAATTAAAGCAGTATGAATACAGACGATGGGAAACACAGTGAGATTCAGCTACAGTCCTTCACTCAACACAGCAGGGAGTAGATGAACTTTACTCCTGGCATTATTTCCAATTTAGTACTGGGCTTTCATGTTTACTCTACACGCTTGTGATTAAAAGTCTGGGGACTTTTAGCTTTTCAAAATGTTTTTAATATGAATGATGTTTACTTTGGTTTTTGCAAAAACTTTAAATATTCATGACTAAACACTGCAAAAATAATATTTCAGCAAGGGACGTCTTAAATCTAATCAAAATATCTAATATTTGTAATTTTTGAGATTCATCATTTTAGTCATTTTTATTGTTTTAAATAATTTTATCTAGAGAAACTGTTCTATTTCATTGCCAGACAATTTGGTTTACGTCTAACCCTACATGCTTAAAAAAAATGGATCTTCAAGGGTTCTTGAATAATTAAGAATGTGCTATAGATGGCTCTATATAGAACCTTTTTGAAAAGTGTCCCTATAGCGAAAAAGGGGCTAATATGTCAGGCTTGTACCAATAGAAGAATACTTTTTGGTGCTGTATAGAACCTTTTTCAAAAAAATAGAACCATCTACAGCACATTGTCCATCAATCAGAAGAACCTTTCATGAAGCAAGGAACCCTTTAATCATGCAAATGGTTCTTTGTGTGTTCATGGTTCTATATGGAACCATTGTCTTTACTAAAGAACCCTTGAAGATCCATTTTTTTTTTTAAGAGTGTAGATGTAAACAGAGTGATTCAGAGTGGTTTGGTGTGAAATGGTTCAGATTTCATTACAGTGGTGGTGATAGGAACCAGGGGTCGCCATGACTACAACACAAATATAGACATTTTATTTACTATCCAGAACCACCAGTGAACCTACACGAGTCTTCTGAGTTTATATGAAATTTTGATGATGGTAAAATATTGTTTATTCCAACAAAATCTTCTCAAAACTATAGTAAACAGTGTCTCAGACATCAGGCAGTGAATTCATAACCAGTTCATGTAGTAACTTTCTGTGAGGGAGCTTTTAGAGGTGGACGTCTGGTTCCTATCACCACCACTGTGAACAGTTCTGACTCTGTAAGTTTCTCTAGAACTGAGCGTTTCACACCAAACCACTCTGAATGACTCTGTTTACATCTTAACTGGTCAATTATGCAGAAATCAGTGGGAAAGTTTGTGAAAGCTCTGAGCACTAGCTGAAAAAATGTAAAGGTAGAGTAGAGATCAATCTATAGAAAAGAAAAGTTTCTGAGGTAGTGCATGATAGCTGACAATATCTTTAATATTATTTATTTCTCACTAAAACCTCTCACACCTATCAAATCAATATCCAATCTTAAATTCAATACACTAACACTTCCTGAATCTGCAGAGTCGCCCTTTCCATTCCATCTTATCATACGAGACTCACATCCGGGGTTATGAGCCTATGAAGAGGGGCTGAGACACATGTCATCTGCCTCTCACCATGTGGAACTGGTGGATTCGTGTGTCCATCTACATTCTGTGTGAAACTGACCAATGGACACTCGGGAAATCACTAAGGACTGACCATCACGCTGGAAACCCTTCATTCTTCATTCAGTCCACATCAGAGACTCATGTGAAATGGCGCTCAGAGAGTTTACAGCTGCTGAAGCTGCTGCAGCAGTTTTGGAAAGTAGTGATGAAGATAACGGAGCATTTAGATATGAAACATATGAGGATCATGTTATATGAAGAGCCTTTAAAGGAGAGTTTAAGAAGATATGCAACAATTGAGAAAACAGCCTCAGACTTCAGAGGGTTAACTAAACATGGTTAAGCATACTTTTATCTTTTTATCATTGTTATTGAAATTATTCACAGTTACAATCCTGAAATCTGTGGCTGCTTCAGACCTCTAGTACCCCTACACTCTGAGTCCCTGATGTAATGTATTCTCTGCTGACAGATTGTAAAACACTACAGGAAGTGTAGGGGGCGATATGGCTTCTACTGTTTCATTTAAAAAGCCTCTATAACGTTCATATGATCCACACAGTCATTCTGACAGACTGTAATACACTACAGGAAGTGTAGGGGGCGATATGGCTTCTACTGTTTCATTTAAGAAGCTCTATAATGTTCATATGATCCACACAGTCACTCTGACAGACTGTAATACTCTACAGGAAGTGTAGGGGGCGATATGGCTTCTACTGTTTCATTTAAAAAGTGCTCTATAATTTACAGTCATATATATCAAGATGACAGTCATAACTTATGGGTTAAGTTAATCTACATGACTAGTTGGAGTTTTTTCAGGACGTTTTTAGCCATGCTAACTTATGTTACACTCAACAACAGGCTTATAATCTGTTGGACAGTGTTGACAAGTGAACCATCGCCCCCTTCTGCCTTCATATAATGATGGATTGGTTTCATAATTAGACTTAATAAGTCTACATTCCCACCCACAATTTCTCCTGACTGTCCTCAGACGTTCTCATTACAGGATCACACCTGGCTCTGCGAGAGCTCTGCTGGACCTGCCTGCTTTTACATCTTCTCCTTTAATAAAACATGAGGACCAGTAAAACAGCCCGCCTCTCATTGCAAAACATGAGCACCAGTCAAAGCCTGCGGTGAACCACTAATAAACCTGCTCACGTTCTGCTTCAGTGCCACTGAGTTCTTGCAGAAACAAGACCAGCCATCCTTCATTTCACTGACTGCACAACAGGCTACATTTGAGGCAACAACTAATTTACACAGTTTTTATCTTACCTCAAGTTAAGTCAGAGAAGATCCGAGAAGATGACCTGCTGGAGCCTGTTTAACTACATAACACCCTGTGTTAGATGGTGAGCTGCTTTCTATCATTAGCTTCCATTGCTTGTTAGCTACATTAGCCTTGCAGCTCCACAACAAGCAAACTTCAGACACCTAATGTCCCGGCTGATTACATTTGGGGTAAAGGGGAAAGCTACTGCTTTAAGGGACTGAGCAAAGTTGTATTTACTGTAATGCACTTTGTCCAGTTTCAAAACCTGAGAGGTTCTCACTCTCCCTCTTCTGCTCGGTCAGTCATGATGATCTGTGTTGGACAGGTTCGCTCTGGCAGGATCAGCAGGGTGGACTGGCGTCTCCTCTCTGAGGAGCTGCTCCGTCCTCCGCTGTTTCTCTGTGATGTGCTGGTTTGTTTTATTAACTGCTCTGGGGAGATCTGCTAGACTGAATCCATCAAGTGATAAAGTGAAAGTGGAAACGAGGCTTTTTCGCTGTGAAATTACCTCCAATGTCGTCCGTCGGCCTGCTGGACTAACTGGACCGTCGTCTATAGCTGTCCGATGGGAGCCACTTCACAAAAGACAACTGCCCTCACACACATACACGACCACTCAGAGGTTTAGAATCACTGCGGTCAGTAATATAAAACAGATTTGGATACAGTGCATGTATAAAATTATTCTAATATGATTAAAATACAACTTAATAGTAAAATATGAAGAAATGTTAGATGAGTCCAGAATGACGGACAGAGCTCTAGAAGATTCTGCAATGACTGAGAAGCTGTAGAATAAATAAATTTATTCTGATAAAATTAATATCCAGAAAGAAGTTCTAATAAAATAAACATTCAGAATGAAGCACTAAAAAAAATTATATCCAGAATGAAGTTCTAATAAAAGTAATATCCAGAAAGAAGTTCTAATAAAATTAATATCTGGAATGAAGTTCTAATAAAATGAATATCTAGAATGAAGTTCTAATAAAATTATTAGCTAGAATTATGTCCTAATAAAATTAACATTCAGAATGAAGTTCTAAAAAAAATAATATCTAGAATGAAGTTCTAATGAAACAATCTAGAATGAAGTTCTAATAAAATTAACATCCAAAAAGTAGTTCTAATAAATTATTATCTAGAATTAAGTTCTAATTAAATTTAACAACCAGAATGAAGTTCTAATAAAATTAACATCCAAAATGAAGTTATAATAATATTATTAGCTAAAATTAAGTTCTAATAAAATTATTATCTAGAATGAATTTCTAAAAAAATAACATCCAGAATGAGATTCAAATCAAATTAATATTCAGAAAGAACTTTTAATAAAATGTACTAGTCAGAAGAATTTGTAATAACGTTCGGCGATTAAACCTCAATTTGTCGATAACAAACAAAATTGAAATAATTACAGTATATTATAATTTATTAGCTTCATGTTATTCCCTTTTATTAAGTTTGAAATATTGATGAAGTGTGTCAGAAAACATTATTTGTGTTTCATTTATCGAATTTGATAATCTAAATCTAAAGATTTGATCATATTTGATTAAAAAAATGAGAAGTGATTCTAAACGTCTGAACGTCAGCGCATCTCCATCCCATCACCACTCTCTCACATATCAACTCTCCACATAAACAACATTACAAAATTAGTGGGATTTTTAATATATACTTTAAGCAATTAATCATAAACCATTTAATATAAAGAAAACATTTATCATATGTATCCTATAGAGGTGGATACGTTCTACTTTGTCCGATACACGCACACACGATTCTACAGCCTCCATCGAGATTACGCTCAGCACTTTTAGTCTCTGGAGTCTAAGGGTCGATAATAAATTACTCAAATACATCATTTACAGTTGTATGTGTATCTCAGTGACGTTATTTTACAGATGATTCGTACTCAAACGAGTAAAACTTTCCGCAGACTGAGGTCCAGAGCGAAAGACTTGGTGCTTAAACCTGATCAGGAGCACAGACTGGGCCTGCTGAAGTCCACTGCATTCGTTTCATATAGAGGCCCCAATAAAACAGTCAGTGTAGAAACGGTGGAGTGACCAGGGAGAAGTGGAGCAGGAGGAGTAAGAGGAGAATGAGGAGGTCAAGAGGCTCCTTCTGGACAGGGAACGCGGCGTCCAGCCCATGCCTGAACACACGCGCACATAAACAGTCTGTCTCAAGCACAGATTTAGGAGTTCTTTGGCTGTAGCTTTCACTGGTGGCAGCGAGAGGGGAGATAGCACTGAGATCTGAGTTTCTGCTGAGAGAGAGAAAGAGAGAGAGAGGAAACAGGGTCCACTCTGGTCCAGATGTGGCCATTGGCGGAACCCTAGCAGGCGAAGTCCTCGAAGGGCGTGTGGCGGCTGTGGTGCAGATGGAGATGGTGGTGATGGTTTGGTAGGATGGTGTTAGCGTAGGCTCCCTCGCTGTGTCCCCGTTCACTGCCATCCTGCAAAACAGCATCAAAACGAAGACAAATTACACCGGAAGTATATAACTTTAACCGTAAGAAGCTGGAATTATCACCACAAAAGCAGTAGAGCTACAACAATTAGTCAAAGCATGCCATATGGTCATTCTGACAGACTGTAATACACTACAGGAAGTGTAGGGGGCGATATGACTTCTACTGTTTCATTTAAAAAGTTCTGTAATGTTCATATGATCCACACAGTCATTCTGACAGACTGTAATACACTACAGGAAGTGTAGGGGGCGATATGGCTTCTACTGTTTCATTTAAAAAGCCGCTATAATGTTCATATGATCCACACAGCCACTCTGACAGACTGTAATACACTACAGGAAGTGTAGGGGGCGATATGGCTTCTACTGTTTCATTTAAAAAGCCTCTATAACGTTCATATGATCCACACAGTCATTCTGACAGACTGTAATACACTACAGGAAGTGTAGGGGGCGATATGGCTTCTACTGTTTCATTTAAAAAGTGCTCTATAATGTTCATATGATCCACACAGTCACTCTGACAGACTGTAATACACTACAGGGAGTGTAGGGGGCGATATAGCTTCTACTGTTTCATTTAAAAAGTTCTAAAATGTTCATATGATCCACACAGTCACTCTGACAGAGTGTAATACACTACAGGAAGTGTAGGGGGCGATATGGCTTCTACTGTTTTATTTAAAAAGCCTCTATAATGTTCATATGATCCACACAGTCACTCTGACAGACTGTAATACACTACAGGAAGTGTAGGGGGCGATATGGCTTCTACTATTTTATTTAAAAAGCCTCTATAATGTTCATATGATCCACACAGCCACTCTGACAGACTGTAATATACTACAGGAAGTGTAGGGGGCGATATGGCTTCTACTGTTTCATTTAAAAAGTGCTCTATAATGTTCATATGATCCACACAGTCACTCTGACAGACTGTAATACACTACAGGAAGTGTAGGGGGCGATATGGCTTCTACTGTTTCATTTATAAAGCCTCTATAATGTTCATATGATCCACACAGTCACTCTGACAGACTGTAATACACTACAGGAAGTGTAGGGGGCGATATGGCTTCTACTGTTTCATTTAAAAAGCCTCTATAACGTTCATATGATCCACACAGTCATTCTGACAGACTGTAATACACTACACGAAGTGTAGGGGGCGATATGACTACCACTGTTTCATTTAAAAAGCGCTCTGTAATTTACAGCCATGTACATCAAGATGACAGTAATAACGTAAGGGTTAAGTTGATAAGTTAATGAGGGTTAACTGTCAGCTGTGATAGTGATAACTGCATGTCTAAAATGATACTTTCTCTCATTAAATAGCTGATCAGAGTGATTTACTGCGTGATTTAGAGCTTCAGAAAGATCTCTCACTCAGCGAAATGTCAGCATGATCTGATAAAGCAAATATCAAGGGCCAAATGCCAGAACACTGAACCATATTTTATATTCATGCATCCAATAGTGGTCAAAAGTTTGGACAAAGCTACTCAAAAAAGGATTTCCATGGTTACGTCCACAGGACACTAGAAGAAATCCTTATATTAAAGCTTAAATTTGTTGACCTTATTTTGTTACATGAACAAAAAATTTTTAATGTATTGTTTTTTTTATCTTTCTTTTTTCTTCCTTCTTCCACAACACAGTGCAATAAGTTGACATGTAACTTAAAGTTGAGATGTCTTAACATTTTTACAGCACGTTTCTCCATCTGTCTCATATCAGTGATGGATCTGATTGGACTGTGCTGAAGTATGCAGAAAGGATACAGAGGATACCGCTTTTGATTGGCTGTGCTGCAGCCAGAAAACGTATTTCTATTCCTTTCGGTTTTTGGATCAGTTTGGGAGTTTTTCAGTTAGATTATTTGTTTTCCTGAACTATCCCAGTGCATTTAAGAGGGAATCCTAGTTTGACTGAAGTTTTTTTGTTTGTTGTTTTTGGCCACTGAAACATGTTGGCCAAAAACAGTCAAAAGTGGCACCTTTGGTTTTCAGCCAACAGGGAAAACAGGCCAACAAAAAAAAGATTAAAGAGTTCTATAGCAAAGTGATATCAAAATCTAAGACAAACAGTTTGAATACAAATGATACAGTAAATGTCTTTCGCTCTCCTGCGCTGGACAGTGCGGACATATTCAAAGAGTTTGAGCAGCAGCAGATCAGCAGTGGAAAAAATGTCGGTTGTGTGAAATTATTTCACGATTTCACATTTCCGCAAAGGACATTATGATCTGTAGTCACTTTAAATTTTCATTATCAAATAGATGTACGATGCTCAAAAACTGCTCCACTACAGGTTTGATACCATTTGAATAAGCAACCGGTCCTGAATTTCAGTTTCAGTGAGGAATATTCATTTTGGTGTCGCTAGTTTGTTATTTTGCTGTTAGCCCACCTTGATGTCTTTCCTGTGTTGACTTATTGAGCTTGATGTTGTTCATAACATCAACCAAAAGTTCTGCTTGAGACCTGGCTCTTTGTCTCTTATTCTTTTTGTATGTTGTGACCTCATTAGAACCCATAGACAAGGAGCTTACAGGTCGTAGCACCACTGTTGTTGTTTGTGATTAACTTTTTATAGCATTTTTCATTACATTTTACAACAAGAGTAGGGAAAGGTAAGGGGTAGGGGAAGGCAGGATGGTGACATACATTTTTAGGTATACACACAAATCAGAAATAAAACAAAGACAATACATAAACAACTAGACAACTGAACAACATTACATAATTTAAAAAAACTAAAATTCTTGAATAGTCTCTAAAATTCTCCCGTTTTCTTATTGTTGACTGTTTTGCCTTGTTAAACTTTGCTGTATGATATTCCATCCAAACTATATTTTGAAAACTAGATATCCAGAATTTCATAGCTGAAAGCTGTGGGATGATCCAAAGTTTCAGGACAGTTTTCTTAGTAGCTGTAAAACCTGCCATCACCATCCTTCGCCGAATCGAAGAGAACTGAAGGGCTTAGTTATCGTTTAAAAGACATAAATGTGGTGACAGTGAATCACTGAGATCAAGAACTTTTGATAATATATCTACTGTAGAGGTCCATACATCTGGTACTTTAGAACATTCCCTGTCAGAACATATCGCTGTTGTCGGAAGAAAACCTCGTATCTCCAAAAAAGTTTACCTTTACAGGAGAAGGAAAAGACTTACTTTACTTTTAATGTAAGTCAATGGAACTAGACTTTTTTCCAAGTCATTTTGGTCCATTTATTATTTCAGTCCATTAATCATGAAATTTACACACAATGTAAATGTTAACCGGTATTTTCAAAGTATGTCCAAAACTGATAAACATCAAGAATGGAGATATGAGATTTTCTTCCGACAACAGTGATATGCATAAATGTACCAAGTGCAGAGTTACAAATATTACAGATATAACTAGAAATATGTTTCATTTGATATCTCCTGTAAGGTGTTGCATATGCTCTGTGAATTATTCTGTAATGAATAAACTGATGTGCCAATTTTTTTGAGGAGTGGCTTAAATTAGCCCATATAGTGTTCGAATCCAAGGAAGGACCAGTACAGGAAAGCTCTCATTCTCACAGTTGTTCGACTGCCAACTGCTTTATATGATGGTCTACCAAAGTATTGTAAATACTCTGCCCCATAGATTGTCCAAAGGCCTTATCCAGTCTAGCAAGGGGTGAGAGTTGAGAGTGCTGCCCCAGAGAACTCTCAACTCATAGGCTCGAAGTACAAAAGGAAGATGTAAATAAACAAAGTTTGAAGAAGCTGGAAGATGAAAAAGCATCTGAAGCCACCACCACCTTTTAGAGTAATAGTGAAAACATCAAAACTACAAATGTGGAATTGCTCTTATCTGAAACACTGGCTTTCAGACCCACCCTACCAACAACACATCTGATTGGCTCAGACATATAACTGGGAGCAGACATTCCAGTCATTAACTTTTAACAAGGTGGACATATTAATATACACCGATCAGGCGTAACATTATGACCACCTCCTTGTTTCTACACTCATTGTCCATTTTATCAGCTCCACTTACTATATAGGTGCACTTTGTAGTTCTACAGTTACAGACTGTAGTCCATCTGTTTCTCTGATACTTTGTTAGCCCCCTTTTACCCTGTTCTTCAGTGGTCAGGACCCCCATGGACCCTCACAGAGCAGGTACTATTTGGGTGGTGGATCAACCACTGAAGAACAGGGTAAAAGGGGGCTAACAAAGTATGCAGATATATAGTAAGTGGAGCTGATAAAATGGACAATGAGTGTAGAAACAATCATGCCTGATCGGTGTATAAGGATTGTACGTTTTCCATCTCCAAATTTCACAGAAGTTCTAAAGGAAAGTGTCTTGCTGTGAAAATGTATATGAATATATATTCAAAATCTATTTGTTTTGTTTGGAAATAAATGGGTCTTTAGACTGGTATTTCACTGGTATCTCAAAGTGAATTGCTCTGCATAAGCAGTGACGCAGATGCAGGTCAAACAAATTCACAACTGTACCTTGTTATGAAGGAAATGCCGATGTGATAAATGCCCGTGTGGATTAGTTTATAAACAGAAGCTCAGACTGCAAACAGTGCATCTAATCTGAGTGTAAACAAGAAGCAAGTCAACATAATAATGACTCTATTTCCTGAACGCTGAGCCCCTGTTTTTCCCTCTGCTCTGTCCATAGAGCTGCACATCTGCGTGCTGCACCTGTGCACCACCTGCTCACCTTAGCCTTCATGTCCTCCAGGTTGACCGTAGCTACAGTGCTGGCTGGGGGCTGTTTCTGCTGAGGCTCTGGCTTCTGCTCCTTCTGAGGTTTCAACAAACGCTGCAACCTGTGCTTAATTACCTGGAGATAGATAGATAGATAGATAGATAGATAGATAGATAGATAGATAGATAGATAGATACATAGATAGATAGATAGATAGATAGATAGAGGCAGAGTTATATATTTTACAAATTTTAAAATTTACAACATGCTCAAGAAAGAAACAAAATCCTTAAGGAGAGGAACTGGAGAAAGAAGAGGACAAGACATAAAGGACATAAGAAAAGAGAAGAGGAGACCAGAGGACACAAGAGAGGAGGAGGCGAGGAAACAGGAGAAGATGAGAGAACAATAGACAAGCTGAGATGGAACAAGAGGTGACAAGAGAAAAGGAGACAAGAGGAGATGAGACAAGAGGAGACAGTGCAAAGTGATATGGGAGAAGACAGGAAGAGACAAGACAAGAGGAAATGATACAAGAGGAGACAAGAAGAGATCAGACATAAAGAGACAAGACAAAAGGAGAAATGGTGAAGATGAGACAAGATGAGACAGAAAGAGACAGGACAAGAGGAAACAAGACAAGGGAAGTCAAGACAGGAAGAGACAAGACAGGAGATGAGAAAAGACAAGACAAGGGGAGTCTGGGCAACAGGAAGCAGAAGAATATGAGACAAGAGTTTGACAAGGGGAGGTAAGACAAGAAGAGACAGGAGGAGATGAGAGAGAGGAGAAGACAAAGGGAGAAAAGACAAAATGAGACAAGAGAAGCAGAAACAAGACAACTGGAGAGGAGAGAATGCAAGACAAGAGGAAACAGGAGGAAAGGAAGGAAGAAGAGACAAGAGGAGATAAGACAAGAGCAGACAAGATGAGAAGGGACAGGAGGAGACAAGAGGAGAAAAGACATAAGGAAATGAGACAAAAGGAAATGAGGAGACAAGAGGAGAGGACACAAGAGGAAATGATACAAGAGGAGACAAGAGAAGAGGAGGCAAGAGGAGAAAAGGTATAAGGAAATGAGACAAAAGGAGACAGGGGGACAAGAAAAGATGAGACAAAAGGAGACATGGTGAAGAGGAGACAAGAGAAGATGAGACAAGAGGAGGCAGGAAGAGACAAGACAAGAGGAATCAAGACAAGAGAAGTCAAGACAAGAGGAGACAGAAGAGGAGGAGATAAAACAAGAAGGGACAAGAGGAAATGAGACGGGAGATGACAAAGGGAGACAAGAGGAGACAAGAAGAGACAGGAAGAGGCAAGAGGAGTGGAGACAAGATAACAAGACATGAGAGAAGACACGGCCAGAAACGAGGAAACAGGGACACAAAAGAAGACAAGAGATCACAAGAGGAGACAAGAGAAACTGAGATGAGGCAAGAAGAGACAAGATGATATGGACAAGAAAAGACAAGAGCAGAAAAGACAAGAAGAGACAGGAGGAGAGCAGAGGAGTCAAGAGCAGACAAAACAAGAGGAGACAAGACGAAGAGAGACAAGAGGAGAAAGAAAGAGACAAGAGAAGAGGAGACATTCGGTGACAAGAGGAGACCAGACAAATAAAGACAAGTCGAGAAGAGACAAGAGCAGATGAGACAAGAGACGAGAAAAGAGAAGATTTAATGGAGGTTGGAGTGGAAGTTCAGCATGATTTGATTCAGACCCCAGAGTTAGGCCTCATCTCCTCACCTACACACGTCACCCAGATCTCCAGCAGCTAAACAGCTAAAACACTCCTTTACCTCATAAATATAGTCGAGGATCTCCAGCACCGTGAGAATACTGGCTCCTATAAACAGCCCCATCTGCCCACCAATGTCACCTGCGTTTAATACGTAAACAGAAGAAAGGTTTCATACAGACGTGGCCAGAGAACACCAAACCAACCATCACCGACAGAGAACATCACTCTAATGTGGGCTGAAGCCTTTATACTGTCCCAGTAAAGAAACTGATAAACTAAATGAACAAGCGTGAATGGAGAAGAACCTTCTAGAACACTGTGAATAGAATAGTGTGGATGAAGGAGAACATTTTAGTGTCTCCAAACAGTGAGTGTGTTTACATGCACTCAATAATCTGATCATAATCAGATTTCTGCAGTTATCTGATTATTCAAATGGAAATATAAACAGTACATTCTGATTTTTTAGATCAAAGTAAGGTCTAGAAATCTGATTAAGAAATCTGATAAAGAGGCTGGGCTTTAGCTCAGTAATCAGATTTCTTAGTAAACTCTTACTCTGATTTCTTTCGGATTTCCCAGTCTGAGCATGTGTGAAAACAGATGGTGGTACCAGAAATAAGCGAGCAGCGCTACCGTGAGACGCAGCGACGCTGAAACCAAATAAATGCTTCATGAAATTAATGCCACGGCATGAAGTTTGAGTTCTACGTTATGTTTACGTCACGTCTTCTTCTGTGAGTTTATTGGCTGGTTGTAAAGCAGAAATCTGATTACTGTCTGACTCATGTAGACCCAGAGTTTCCCCATTATCTGATTACTCAAGTGCATGTAAACACATTGATTGGATTACTGACAAAATCTGATTTTTTGCAGTTATCGGATTATTAAGTGCATGTAAACACACTCCGTGACAAATGGGTAGAACATACCAACTACAAGTTTGGGTTTGTTGGGTTGATGTATTTTGGCCTTTAGAGAGTTTTTAACCCAGAAACTAAACAGTAGAACAATTATACCTTGTTTCTATATAAGAAAGCTACACAGGTCTGATACAGCAAGTTTATAAAGGGAAAAAAACAAAAACATTTGTTATTGTAACTTGAAATGTAAAGAGCAGCTGGTGTTTTTCAAACCATGTAAAAGACTAAAAACAGAAAAAGGAGCTGCGAAGGCAAAGATGTGTTGATAAACAGCGGCCGAGGTTCAAAGGACCCACCTAACAATCCTGCGACATCATAAGCTTTCTTCTGCTCTATCGTTTCATAGTTTAGAGCTTCGAAGAAAATATCCAGGACGAGGAAATTATCTCTAGAAAATGAGAAGAATATCAGAGTTAAGAAGAGTTAAGAAGCGCATTATTGCTTTTACACGTCAGCTCTGCAAAATAAAGAAAAACATAAAGCGAAGATGCACATTGTATCAAATGAGCTTCAACGTTGGAAATTCGTTATGCCAAAAAAGTAGCACCTTACAGTACAGATAGAGCCATAAAACTGTCACAGCATCAGGTTGAGCTCAGTTTTTTAGTGTTTTCCAGATGAAGCTGAATGTGGTTTTGTTCAGTCAGTCTGAAAAGAGTTTCACAGTCAGTTTTTAAGCTGAACTGTATTCTGTTGGTTTGGTTGTTCAGCTGCAGATTGACAAGCTCACTAAGGACCAGTTAAATTTCAGTAAATTTGATGGAATCCTGCTCTTCTTATTAGAATCTGACCAAACAGGCAGTAGGTCAAATATTATCTAATGTGTCTAGCTTCTGTTTTGTACAGTGGTGTGTGCCCCTACAATCGTTTGGGTGCCCCTGGTCAAATTCTGTGTTTTGTTTATTTCCTTAGTGTAAATAGGTGAACACACCCTCTACAGAGACACACTTCTGCACAGTTTAATGCACAATTACTGTTTATTAACAGAATTTATTACATCAGGGCAAATTCTGCTGTGCAATTCAATTTTGCTGTGCAATATTTATGGAACATTTTATATTTAATGTTTTATATTGTTCCTGTATATTAAACCCAGGAAATAAACAGAAATTGTGCGCTGAACTTGAAACAATATTTAAGTGTGTTCTCTCTAGAAGATATTCATTTAATTTCATTTAGAAAACCAACAAAGTCTGTAATTTGACTGGGGGTGTTCAAATATGCTTACGTGCTAAATACCTGTAGTAATGTAATAAAAATGAGCTCCAGCATAAAGTGAGTCACTACTTAGCAACTGATGCTCAGCAGAATAACTCAGTTAGTGTAAGAACAGAACGCTGTTATCAAGAAGAGCAACATAAGAAGAAAGCTTATTAACCAATCAGATTGTGCCATCATAACTAACTATTGCATATCACTGCTGTCAGACCAAAACCTTGAATCTCCATTTTTGACATAATTTGAAAATAACAGTTACCCCTTACATTGTGTGATTTCATGAAGAATGGACCAAAAGAAATGACCCAAAATAAATTGGAAAAAAAGTTCCATTGACTTACATTAAAAGTACAGTATGTTTTTTCCTTCTCCTGTAAAGTTACCATTTTGGAGATGTGAGGTTTTGGTCCGACAGCAGTGATATAGAACATTACAGTAATATATTGTTGCTGTCCAAATAAAAAAAAAAAAAACATATATCCATTATATCGATTTTTTTTCCTACATCATGTAAATATGGAAGCTATCATTTATCTATCTATCATGTTAAATTTTCATGATGAATAGACCAATAGACATGCTTCAAAATCACTTTATATTTTGAACTATACTTATATTAACTTGTATTGAAATGGATTTTTTTTTCCCTTGTGATTTTCTCTGCTATTTTGGAGAAACTTGTTTTGGACAGCAACAATATACAGTATAGGGCTACTAACAGATAAACAACAGAAAACAGATAAAAATGTTCACAGAATGCAGCTGACCTGATGTAATCCTCTGATTTGTGGTATTTCCTGCTCAGGTAACGAGCCGATCCTTTACTGGGAATCTTCACCATGGACAGTTCTTTACCGTAGCGGGTCAGATTACAGGGAGTTTCACACGGACACGAGTCCCCCGAACTCTTCTGTAACAGAGCTGACACACACAGACACTTCACTTCTTTATTACACTTACAGTTTAAAGAGTCCAGATACTATATTTTTCTTTTATTGTGTTCCCTGTGGTCCACGTATGAGTGGAAGAGTGTTAAGTCAGCAGTGTCAGTGGGGGAATATTCTAGAACAGTGTGAATGGAGGAATGTTTCAGAATAGTGTGAATGGGGAGAACGCTCTAGAATAGTGTGAAAGGGAGAACAGTCTAGAACAGTGTGAATGGAGGAGAACATTCTAGCACAATGAGAATGGAGAAAAAAATCTAGAAAAGTGTGAACTGGTGAAACATTCTAGAACAGTGGAAATGGGGGATATACTAGAACAGGGTGAATGGAGAACATTCTAGACCAGCATAAATGGGGAAAACACTTAAGAACAGTGTGAATGGAGGAGAGCATTATGGAACAGTGTGAATGGGGGGAATATTCTAGAACATCGTGAACGGCGAAGAACATTCTAGAACAGCATGGATGGGGAGAACATTTTAGAACAGTGTCAAAGGACGAGAACATTATAGAACTGAGTAAATGGAGAAGAACATTGTAGAACAGTGTGAAAAGAGACAACATTCTAGAACAGTCTGAATGGAGGAGAATATTATAGAACAGTCTGAATGGACGAGGATATATTAGAACACTTTTAAAGTAGAAGAACATTCTAGAACCATGTGAATGAGCAGGCATTGTAGAACAGTATGAACGGGGAGAGTATTTGGGAAATGAAGTTGTGTTGTATTATGTGGAGTTTATTCCTTTGGCATGTGTGCTTTATGTGGTTGTTCTGTGTATTATCTAGCACTTAATGTGTTTATTTGTGAATGTACCGTAAATATCTGTGACTGTTTAATGGTGTGTAATTTATGACACAGTCTTTATGACAAAAAAAAAGAAATTACCCCAAGTGAAGAAATAAAGCATTCCAGTTCTACACCATCCTGCAGCTGTGTGTGTGTATATGTGTGTGTGTGTGTGTATATGTGTGTGTGTGTGTGTGTGTGTGTGTGTGTGTGTGCGCAGGTGTTCTAAGCACACCTGAGATTTACTGCTTCATTCATCAAACTCACACTGTAAATAACCACACAGACAGTGTTCTGCATCTTCAGTTCACTCTCAGCATGTAATTCAGCTTTAATTATGGTTTTGAAGGGCATCCAGAAAATAACACACACACATACACACACACACACACACACACACACACACACACACACACACAGTGGAAGTGTGTCTCCTCCCTGAGGCAACACTATAACTCACACAATGCTTTAAATATTAGAAAGATCAGAGCCGCAAACTGACTGAAAACTCCAGAAAAAACACATCACATCACAAAATCACATCCAGGACCTTTTAAAGGTTTGAACATTCCTAATTAAACAAGTGTTTTCCACAATCTTTAAGTCTTTAAGCCTTTTTAGCCTAAGCTAAATGTCTTAAACCTTAGGCTTATTATTCAGTAACTGCTAATAATGAAGCATTAAGGCCTTCAGAGAGGGTCTAATGATTTCTGTGAAACCATAAAATTATGCCTGTAATTTAATAGAATGATGATTCTTGTTGTATTTAAACTCTGCATGTATTGTATTAATGCTCTTATTTCAGAAGGGGGGAAATATTGAAAAGGCCAATGGAAAATGATTCAGTCAGGATTGTTCTCTCTGAGGTATCTAGATGGATACATCTAAGCAAGCTCTCCCATTATCTAGGACCTCAGGAGCTGGACTCAAGGCCTAATGTGTTAGATTAACCACTAGCATAACTGAGGAATCAACCAATTATGCTTTTATTTTCAATGGTTGGGACCAATTCCATGACAAACAACATCACTCTAGACCATTTGGAAGTTCTAGGTATGTCACTGACTGTGAATTCAAACCGTAGTCTAACCAGGTTTCAGTTAGTTGTTAGGAATGGAAAACAGTGGCAGCAGCAGAGTCTTTACTGAAAGGATCACTGTGAAACAGCTACACGGTAAAACATGTTTCAGTGTCCATTACAAGCTTTAAATAAAACAGACAGAATGTCTTATAATCTAGAACAGCCAAAAAAAAAAAAAATTCATGTCAATCTCTGTTAGCTTAGCGCTAACATACTGCTAGAATTCCATAGGAGTGCTAGCAAGAATGAGCATTACAGTAGTGGTGTTTTTTCCACTCATTTTACCAGGTTTTGACATCTGTGGCCCGAACTGAAGGCCTGGCTCCAATAGTTGCTGTTTACCATGGTAACCGCTATAAATTATGCAGTAATTACTTTGAAACTGACATTATTATGTTATGTAGTAATGAGAGTGAGAGGGGTTTGAGGGGTTAAATGCTATAAATCTGTTTCTGATTTGTGTTTATAGGACATACCTGCAGCTGTGTACATAGATACCTGTACATGGTAGCTAACTAAATGTGAATGCTTTGGATGAAAGTTATTGCCCTCTGCACTTAATTTCATGTCTTTACACTGTGTTTATGTGTACATTTGTGTAAAGTGTATATTTAGGTGTCCATTTGTGTTATTGTTGGTTCTCAGGGGACTGTTCTAAAGTGGTGTGCCTTTTACCTGAAAGACAGAACGTTCTCTCTTAAGATATTCCTCTGTCAATTCTCTGCAGCTGTCATTTGTGGTGTACCTCAGGGCTCTGTCTTGGGCCCTAATCTGTTTTCACAACTGCGCCTTGTGGTTAAACTGGTGAAAATCTTTTCAGTTGTCTCAGGGATATTAAACGTTCAATGCCTAAAAACACCCTCCTCTTAAATAACGGTAAGAAAGAAGTTTTTTTTTTTTTATTTGGTCATCCAGACTTTATTAGAGCTGTAGCTGACAACTTGTGGGCACTGTCAAACAATATGTTTATTTATGCAATTTATTTATTAATTTAGTGTCAATTTCGACTCTGCCCTCAAGGCAGTAAACTCAGCTGGGAGAGGAAGCTCATTCCAGCTGAAAGCTATTGCCAAAATAAATGCACCTTGTCATTCAAGGATGGGGAAACATTTATTCATGCTTATATTTCTTGTTTTATTGTAGCTCTTTTCACACAGGACTCTGTCAGTCAACCCTGCAGCCTGCGGATGGTCCTAAATGCAGACACTAGCCTTCCGACTGGCACCAGAAAAAGACCCTGTACTGGTCTTCTTTCACTGGTTACCAATCCAATACAGAATCGAGTTTAAGGCTTTGTTTTTTGGTAATTAATGATCTCAAACTACAAAAAAAACTTCATGCGGCCCATCACATATTTATAGTTTATCCTTAAATTCATTCATTCATTCATTTATCATCTTTAACCGCTTGATCCAGATAGGGTCGCGGTAGCAGTAGGGCAAGCAGAGAATTCCAGATGACTCTGTCCCCCGCAAATTCCTCCAGGTCATTCCGGGGGACCCCGAGCTGCTCTCAGGCCAACTTGGAGATATAATCCCTCCAGCGACCCTGGGGTCTCGTCCCAGAAGGCCGTGCCTGGTAAACCTCCACTGGGAGGCTTCCAGGGGGCATCCTGATCAGATGCCCAAACCACTGGCTCCTCTCAATGTGGAGAAGTAGTGGCTCTAGATGACTGAGCTCCTCACCCTGTCAGTAGAGTGTAGCCTGCCACCCTGCGAAAAAAGCTCATTTCTGCTGCTTGTATCCGTGATCTCATTCTTTAGGTCATGACCATAGGTGAGGGTGGGGACATAGACTGACTGGTAAACAGAGAGCTTTGCCTTATGGCTCAGCTCCCTCTTCACCACTACTGATGCTGTCTGTCCAAGCCTGCGGCTGATCTCACAATCCCTTTTCCCATCACTCGTGAACAAGACCTTGAGATACTTAAAACTCCTCCCTCTGCCTGTCCTTAAATCTGACCCACTTTTTTTTTTATTTTCTGTCTTTAAATATTTACTAGTGTTTTAGTACTCAAGTCTATTCCAGAGGCATAGCTAAGGGGAGGCCAGAAGTGGCCAGCACCACCCCAGCATGAAGCATAGCTGCCCTTCTGCCCACCCCAGTTATGGAAAGTGAGACAGTCGATCATCATTAATAAAGCATCAGTAATGCTTTATGGTGAAAATCTACCATCGAGGTAGCTACCAATCAGTTATAAGAGTCTGATAACGCTGAATTTAATTATTAGCGTATTTTTGCTATAATAGGCTAATTTGTTCAGTAAACAGGTTGGTTGAATGTGGGTCTTTCAGCAGTGCTACTCTGTGAGCTGCATCATGATTTAGGTTATTGGATGGTTAGATCACAAATTAATTTAGTCCCTTAGCCTAATAAAATCGTTGGGTCTTTCTTGATTCAACTGAACACTGAAATATTTAGTAACCTCTTAAAATCTCAGGCTTGTTACACACGAAGACTTATTAATTAGTAACTACAGGGGCTTCAATGCCAAGTAATGGAGCTATTCTTAGGTTATAGAAATGTGTAATAAACCTTTCCTACTTTTTCATACTTGGAAAGACCTGTTTTAGTTACATGGTTAGGTAAAATGTTAGATGAAAGACTTGATGTAGTCACAGGTCATGCTTAAAAAATCTGTGATTTGCCCTCCAGTTGGAGAAGACCGCCTGGCTAGTGGCCCCAAGTAATTTGAGTTTAAGACCCTTGCTCTACATGAAAAACTTGGATATCCCTGATCTCTGTAGAGAAAATCAGCAACATGGAATTGGACCGGGGGTGCCAAAACTTTTGCACACGACTGTATATGTCCATCCTCGTCTGCCCACTTCAAACCAGTTGTGTTTGACTATCTCTCTGGAGAGGTTGAAAGGTTACTGGGCCTTTTCTGTAGCTGCACTAAGACCAGTACTATTCTTTATAAAAGAATATATGTTAATTTTGAAAACTCATTCTTCTCCCATTCGTGTGGAGAATGTGAAGAATGTTCTCATCCTGTGAGTAGTTGTGTCCAAACTTTCTCCTGGTCCTGTTAAACCAGCTTCACCCTCAACAACTCTGGACCTTTCTTACAGCTCAGTAGGAGCAGTTCAGCAAAGCTGGGCTATGAGGTTTCAGAGTACTGTAATAAAATGACCAGCATGCATGGACAGTGCGTTATCCACTCTACGAGAAAGGATAAAGCATTTTCTCATACAGCACAATGAGAACAAACAGAATAGTTTTTAATGCATTGGCCGTGAAAAGGGGAGCGTTCATTCTGCCGACGTGAACAGCGAGGTTCAGTAGCGAGACAGTGTATGAGATCTAGGTTTAACCCAACCAGCCATTAAATGGGGTCAGAAATCCTTTTGACAAGGCAGATAATTACATTCCTGGGTTATTAGAGGAGGAAGATCATAAATGTTCAGACACATATCATCATCATCTGCTCATAAAGAGCGTTTATGAGCGTCGTAAAACAGAGGGCAGGGGGAGCAGCAGTGTGTGTTTAGTTCAGTGAGTGAACAACAGTGGATGTATGTTAGGTTTTGAGTTGAAGGGGTACAAATCTGATTTTTTGACACTGTTGTGATCATTTCAGTGCAGAATGAATACAAACACCAGATCTCTTCAAATCAGATTTGGCTGTGTTCACATTGTAAGCATTTCTATTATTATTATTATTATTATTATTATTATTATAGATAGATCACTATTAATCCAGAAATTTGCATGTTACAGCTGCAGCAAAGGTATAGTAAAGGAATAGTATTGGAAGGAAATGTAGTAGTACAAAATAAACATAATTAAATAAAAGTCTGGTTATGAATAGTAATAAAAGCAAGTGAAAAAAAACAGTATAAATAAGTAAACATAACAATAAAAACTAAGAAAAATAAAAGTAAAAATAATTATAAACACTAGTGCTCCAAACAAATTTAAACAACAGATATGATACATAGCTATGCAGCAAAGTAAAAATGATCTATTATTATTATTCTTATTAGTATTAGTGTTATTATAAACCCCCAACAATAAGCACTTTCTGGGCAATTTTCTGGGCAGAGTGTGTAAGTAAATTAACTGTTCTTTCTGCAGTTTTCCTAGTCTAATTTAGGCGATAAATGCCCATGTTGTTTGGCTGATTTGTCACCTGTGATAGCCACCTTACCACTGTACTGCAATTTAGAACATGCTGATGGTGTTGATTGGTCAAATTCTAACTTAAGTAATAATCAGTCACAATAATTCACCTCCATCTTGCACAGATTCAGTGTCTGACTACTGCCAGAAAATAAAAGCTCATAAAAATGCCTGGAGTTGTGCTGGTTGTTTAAGTTGCTATGGCTACATCACTATCAATCACTGTGCAGCAGTGGTGAACCATGACTTTTGAGGTTAGGCTTTCAGTTCAGCCCAACTCTGTTAAAAACGAAGAAAAACACCTCTATTATAACAATAATTATAAAAATAGTTGTAAAGTTGTAAAGATTCAGAGAATCTGGAGAAATCTCTGAATGTAAGGGACAAGGCCAAAAACCAGTATTTGCTGGCCGTGATCTTTGAGCTCTCAGATGGCACTGCATTAAAAACAGACATGATTCTGTAGTGGAAATCACTGCATGGGCTCAGGAACAGTTCTGAAAGTGTCTATGAAAACAGTTCATCACTGCATCCTTAAATACTAATTAAAACTCAAACACAAAGAAGAAACCATAAATAAACAGGAAATGCTGCCACTTTTTCTGGGCCTGAGCTCATTTAAAATGGACTAAAGGAATATATATATATATACATAAAATATGCTGCCATCCAGATGATGTCTTTTTCAGGGAAGGCCTTTATTATTTCAGCAAGACAGTGCCATACATTCTGCATGTATTACAGCAGCATTGCTCCATATTAAAAGAGTCCGGGTGCTAAACTGACCTACCTGCAGTCCAGACCTGTCACCACTGATAACACTGAGTGAATTATTAAATGAAAAATACAACAAATGAGCCCCTGAACTGTTGAGCAGATGAAATCCTGTATCAAACAAGAACGGGAAAACATTTCACTTTCAAACCTACAGCAGTGTCTCCTCAGTTCCCAAACACTTACAGTGTGTTGTTAAAGAAGAGGTGATGAAACGCAGTGGTAAACAGGCCCCCGTCCCAACTTTTTTGGAATGTGTTGTTGGCATTAAATTTGAAATGGACATATAATTTTCCAAAAACTATAGAATTTCTCAGTTTCAACATTTGATATGTTGTCTTTGTGGAATTTTCAATTAAATATAGGGTTTAAATGATTTGCGTATCATTGTATTGTATTTTCTTTTTTTTTTACATTATGCACAGCGTCCTAACTGATGGAGGAAGCAGCAATATAAAGTGTTGCAACAGGTAGAATATGGCAATTGCAAATTAGCAATACTGATTAAAGTGAGAGTATAAAGTGATGAGCACGGGAGAGATCAGTATAAAATTAATAGTAATACTAGTAAATGACAGTGACCATGTCAAGCATTATGAGGTTTCCTGTTTATTGTTCAACTTGTAAATGTTCTCCTCTTCCTTAATATACCACAAAAAATGATCTCTTAGCAAGTGATACATCCTAAATGTAGTCAATACCTCTAATATTTCTCATTATGAGATAATATTATAAAATTATTCAATGTATTTCTAAACCATTTTACTTGTTTTAAGTAATATCATCTAATGAAAGTATCTGATTCCACTGGCAGATCATTTCACTTGTTTTGAGAAATAATGCAGATAATTTAGCTTCTTTCAAGAATAAATGTTTGCCAATGAAATAAGATGCTTTCGTTAGATAAAATTACCTAAAACAAGTCATATCATAATGGTATGTCATAATATCATAATATCACAATATATCGTAATGAGAAATATTAGATATATTGACTACATCTAAGATGTTTCACTTGCTAAGATGTCATTTTCTGCTACAGCTTGTAATCACAGTCCCAACTGTTGGAAATCAAATCATGATTGGTTGATTCCTCTGTCACTTCCTAATTATGTTGGTAGTTAATATAACATGTAAGGTCTTCAGTTCAGCTCCTGAAGTCCTAACCAATGGGAGAGCTCGCTTGGCTGTATCTGCCTACATGCCACAGAGAAAACAATCCTGATTGGATAATTTTCCTTTGGAGTTTCAAGAATTTAACCCTTTGGTTACCAACCAAAACTTGCTAGACAATACATGCTAGAGTTTCAATATAACATTCATGATTATTTTATAGTATATGTGATTTTTTCACAGAAATAGACAGGCCTTCTCTGGAAGCCTAGAGGGCCCTCAGGTTGCCATGTGGTCTGAAATGCCCGCTAGTTCTTGATTAGGCAGAGAAGATGAGTTCTGCCTGCTTTTCACTCCATTTGAAACATTACCCGACTCACTGACCTGCTGCCCACACTGGATGGTGACCACAGTGTACAAGCATGAGCAGCGAAGTGTGATGTAAAAAACAAAAACTCATGGATTTTGATCTGACCATATGTCTGCGATCTGTACTGAGCATAGGAAAGTGACTCAAATCTGATTTATACAGATCAGTTTTCACACAGCTCTGAAAAAAAATCACATTCTGGAAAAAAAAAAATTAAATAAATAAATCAGGTGTGTCACTTTAACCCTGTAATGTGAAGGTAGCTTTTCATGAATGGGATACGTATGTAATACATGGCCATTCCCAATGTGTAGATCTCAAGACAGACAGATTTCCTCCAGGAATCTTATTTCTCCTTCTGTCTCTCTCTTTTTTCTCTCTCTATCTCTCTCTCTCTCTTTTAGTCTGCAACACTATCTAAATGTGTCCTCATTGTGTATTTAATTTTTCAGAGCTGCCTTTTTTCAGTGTTAAAGTGCTCCAGGGCATTTGCCAGAGTGAAAAATGTGCACTTACCCAGCGCTCTGTCCACACACTTGATTTTGTTGGGGGTGCAGATATCAGCATTTCCTAAGACAGGAAAGACAAAGTGAATACGATCAATAAAAACAGGAACTTTGCTGCCTCACTGATAGCAAAGGAAGAAAGCGAGAGGCTGAAAGAGTCTGAGATCTCATACTAATTTAACCCTTAACACCCAGACAGAATTCGAGAACACGCTTGTGGATTCCTGACCACTTTCAGGGTTTATTATTGATCACTGCCTTCAAGTTTTTGAGTTTATTTTAACAATGAGTCCTACCTCTTTAACATAAAACCAAGAGATAGAGAATATATCTGAAAATACATTATAAAAAATAGATTCCCTGGAAATAAAGAACAGGGATTTGAAACAAACTGACTACAACAACTAATGAAAATCTTCATCATTAATTCCCAGCAATAAACCTGATACAAAAAAATCACCACATCATACAGATATAGCCAAAGGGTGCATAAACTCCCTCAAGCTACAACTTCGAAAAGCCTCTATTAAGAACTATGAACACTCAAAGAACCCTTTGCATGATTAAAGTGTTCTTTGCATCATTGAAATGTTCTTCAGACTGATAGAGAATGTTTTGTAGATGGTTCTATATAGAATCTTTATGAAACAGGTTCAATATAGCACTAAAAAGGGTTCTTCTATTGACACAAGCTTGATACTGTAACATTAGCAGAACCATATTTGGTGCCATAAAGAACCCTTTTCAAAAAGTTTTATATGTAGAACCGTCTAGAGCACATTCTCCATCAATCTGAAGAACCATTTCACCATGCAAAGGGTTCTTTGATTGTTCATGGTTCTGTAAAGAACCATTGTCTTTACTAAAGAACCCTTGAAGAACCATCTTTTTTCAAAGTGTAGTTGTGACTGCTGAATGACCTTCAGCGTGAGGAAGCTCAGTGCATCTGCACTCATTTGGCCTACATAGCTGAGAGATACTAGGCTCACAGTAAAACACAGAGAGACTAGCCTAGCTAACTGTTTCACTGATTTTAACTGATTCATAAAGGCTATGAAATGTCCCTAAGAATCAGAACAAATTTGAATTTGAATATCAAACATGGAAACAACACAGCAGTGAACAAGATTTATCTTCATCTACCAAAGATCAGGCATAACATTCTGACCACCTCCTTGTTTCTACGCTCATTGTCCATTTTATCAGCTCCACTTACTATATAGGTGCACTTCGTAGTTCTACAGTTACAGACTGTAGTCCATCTGTTTCTCTGATACTTTGTATTCTCAGCACTGCAGTAACACTGATGTGGTGGTAGGGTGTTAGTGTGGGTTGTGCTGGTACGAGTGGATCAGACACAGCAGTGGTACTGGAATTTTTAAACACTGTGTCCACTCACTGTCCACTCTATTAGACACTCCTACCTTGTCAGTCTACTTTGTAGATGTAAAGTCAGTGACGATAGCTCATCTGCTGCTGCACAGTTTGTGTTGGTCATCCTCTAGTCCTTCATCAGTGGTCACAGGACGCTGCTCACAGGACACTGTTGGCTGGATATTTTTGGTTGGTGGACTATTCTCAGTCCAGCAGTGACACTGAGGAGTTTAAAAACTCCAGCAGCACTGCTGTGTCTGATCCACTCAGACCAGCGCAACACACACTAACACACCACCACCACATCAGTGTTACTGCAGTGCTGAGAATGATCCACCACCCAAATAGTACCTGCTCTATGAGGGTCCATGGGGGTCCTGACCACTGAAGAACAGGGTAAAAGGGGGCTAACAAAGTATCAGAGAAACAGATGGACTACAGTCTGTAACTGTAGAACTACAAAGTGCACCTATATAGTAAGTGGAGCTGATAAAATGGACAATGAGCGTAGAAACAAGGAGGTGGTCATAATGTTATGTCTGATCAGTGTAAACATGGCTGTGTGTTCAGTAAAGCAGCCACAATAACCATGAAAACACAGATTTCGAATCGCTAAACAAAGATCTTAAAAGATTCAGTTGTAAAACCATTACTGCTGTCTGAGCTGATATAAATAGAGATGCATCAATACCGATCCTGGTATTGGGTATCAGCCCAACACTGTGCTAATTTACCCATATTCATAAAAAAGCACCAATACCAACATCTGATACCAGCTAATACTGTGTAATGTAATCCTAGTTAGTATATGCTGCTTTGCAAAACAACAAACAACTCAAGCTGGCAGTGAATGGGGTTCTGCTCACATATAGAAGTGTTCCTGAATCCGTGGAGGTCGGACACAGAGTCTCTGGTCACTTCAAACATTTTGCCATAGTATATTGCCACCAGACCTTTAGTCTGTGTTAAACATACACAGTCACAATCACTTCCCCAATATGGGTGGAGACACATAGGCTAGCAAAACGGTGGTGAAAAAGTCAACATTTATGGAAACTAAAGTTGGATATGCGACTTTACTCTGTTTGACTGAATGGAATTGTGCGGTATGAAAACTAATAGAGATCTTTTTTTGTAAAATAGGCTGTAGAGAGGCTGTATTGACCTACCATGTACATCCACACCAGCTTTTAGTTTCAGAGCACAGTGTTAGCAGTGCTGCTCAGTTTCTCAGCATGTTTGCTCAGTACTCGGAGCAACGTGTGTTATTTTGAATGAAACAACTTTATTTGAAATTGTACAGAGCTGTCAGTAGAGGCTGTGTTTCACAGGGCATGGACTAAGCATTGTTATACAGCTTGTCTGTCTACGATGGTCTATTTAAACGTACAACATAAGTCACCAAAGAACAAGATTTCTAAAGATTTTTAAAGATTTCACAGTGTCTTTCTGGCTTTAGAGGACATTCAGCTACAGCTCAACCAGCCAAAACGATTTCAACAACACAAACGTGAGCTCCTCAGATGCGTTAGCCTCAGACGCCCTTCCTGCTGTCACTGTGCTACAGAGACTGATGTTGAAAGAGACAGATATAGATCAAAACTATGAAACATGCTTTTCTTACAGATGTACAGAAGCACTTTTCTGACATGGAACAATATCCGCTCTTCTCCACTGCAGCACTATTGATCCTAGGTAGCTAATGTAGCATAGGTAGTTAAATGGACATAAATGCATGGTTTCTTGAACTGGATTACTGATTTAGTCTTCACTGCAGCTCCATAAAGTCACTCTGGACACACAGGGTAAGTCCTGCTGAGCTGTGATGTGTTAATTGCATTGCTGTTTTAACCCTTTTGTTGCCATATGGAGGTTAAAGCAGAGAGCTAATAGCAGGTTTTACAGTGATCTGTCTGTGGGCTTGGATCTGTATTTCTGGGTTGTGGGATGTTAGAGCTGGTTTCTCTCACGTGTGAATCTCATGCGTGAATCATGTCGTTATTTTTAACCCTTTGTTAATAATATGAAGGCTAAAAGCAGAGAGGTAATATAATGTTAGTGAGTGGGTTGTGGGTGATTTTGGAGCTGGATTGCTGGCTGATTGATGGTCACAGGTGGATAAAATCACTCTGCATGGTGAAGCACACTCTGATGAGTGATCTGATGTGTGAATCATGTCACTGTTTTAACCCTTTGTTGGAATATGAGGGCCAAAATCAGAGCAATAATATCAAGATTTTAGTTGAATTTCCAAGCCAAATTACTCACTGATGCTGACCTCACAGATTGGTGACACTAGCTAGTTAGGGCTGGGTCTGCTGAGTGTTAAGCTATGTGGATCATGTTTGTAGCTTATACTGGTCTGAAGTTATGAAGGCCAGAAGTCAACTATGCATTTGCTCTTCAACTTTGGGTCCCAAGCAATAATGCACTTTATTTCAAATCAACAGGATTTCAATTATTTAATTTAAGGTACATTATATTTACACGAGCAACTACTTAATTTTATGTAGGTTACTCATAATCCATATTGACAAGTATTAAAAACATAATTGATCTGGAAAAAATGGATAATGCATCACTAAATATATTTTGAAAAGCATTTTATCCCTGTAACTCTGTTATCAGATGTACTAGGATTCTGTTGTTTCTCTCTGTGTGAAATGTGACTCTGCATTGAGCTGCTAGTGAGCAATGAGGGGCAAAAAGGAAGGGTTAGAACCCCCTGGTGTGAAAAACAATTCACACATCTCCACAAAGACGGCCACGCCGAGATAAACAGACAACCGCAGCTTTCTTTATGTTAAACAATTCTGCACAACTGACACAATAAACACACAGCAATTAAACACAATAAAAACACTCTGAATTGCTGTTTTATTTGCATGTGCTTTTGAAATGATATTAAAAAAAGTACTGTAATGCCATATTAAGAATGGCAGGAGAACAGTGCGTTCTACCATTGCAGATATGTATGTAGAGCACGGCACTCAAGTCGACACTGGAATGGCAGCAGAAGCTGATCACTCATGTTCAGATGATGGAGAACAGTGTCTGGTTCGTGTTCCCTGGTGTTTCAGCCCCGACCATCTGAATTCCTCAGATTGCACTCCTATCCAGAGACACCCCCACCGCCCACAACCCCCCACGGGCATATTTAGAAAGTCTTTAAAAACCAATCCCTGATCCCCCCTCACCATCGCTGGCACTCAGCAGCACGCCAGGCCCTCGCTAATAGCACAATCTCATCAGCGCTGTAATTAATCAGCGCAGAACCGCATGACACACAATGCACACTGTTCTTTGAGCTAATGTTTGGTGGAACAGAGCTCCTTTTCTATTTGCGTTAGCCTGAGATTGATTCAGAGACGTTAAAGAGACGGAACAAAGGCCCAGAGAGTCCATTAGGACCCGCAGCTCTGCTGTCTGGACGCTTCTCTTTGCTAATAACTCAGGTGTGGAGACTTCATTAGCTCGGCTCCAGGACGGCCTTTTGTCTCTCCGTTGGCTGAAAGAGGATGGCGGTATTAGTCTTCACGCTGGCGAACAGTTCACTTCTCTCCGCTCTTTCAGATGAACCAGCAAAGGGCATAACCGAGAATTTATAACTGGGGGACCAAAAATAAGACAGTGGCTGAATCTGTTCAACCAAATTTCACATTTCATGCAGTAAGTTTAGATATATTTATTCAACGGTTAATAATTCTTTCTAAAATATTTTATTTACTGTGATGTAGTGATGGTAGAAACTAGAGAGACAATCTCAAACATTTGATTCTTTTGGAATTCTTGTGTTTGAAGCAGAAGTTTAGAAACACATTCTCCAAACCATCACATACTGGATTCAGCTTCATCCACTCAGAATTATTTGCACCCCTACTGCTTCTGCTTACAATGATATTATTATTTATAATAATAGTACGATAATACAATTAATGCATTTTTTCTGTCAACAGCATTTGAGAAAAGCGAGAGAGAGAGAGAGAGAGAGAGAGAGAGAGAGAGAGAGAGAGAGAGAGAGAGAAAGAGACTGTTTGACTTTTTTAGCATTGCAACACTTTTTAGGTCTCAAACCTACTAAGGTTTCACTTTCTAAGACGAATTCCCAGACTAAGCTTTTTTACAGCTGTATAAATCCACACAAGCAATTTATGAGGGGCTCTATTCTATACATAGACAGAATAAGTATGTATGTCCAGGAGTGAAACCAAATATATTTCACTTCAAACCAAACTCGCAACAAACATATAAACATTCCTGATACTATTAGTCTTCATGAGATCAGGGTCTGGGTGGCGCAGTGGGTAGCGCTGCCGCCTCACAGCAAGAAGGGTTCGATTCCCTGGCCGGGGTCCTTTCAGTGTGCATGTTCTCCCTGTGTCTGCGTGGGTTTCATGTGGGTACTCTGGTTTCCTCCCACAGTCCAAAGACATGCAGTCAGGCCAACTGGAGATGCTAGATTGGCCCTAGGTGTGAAAGTAAATGTCTGTCTGTCTGCCCTGTGATGGACTGGCGACCTGTCCAGGGTGTTTCCTTCCTTCCGCCCAATGAACACTTGGATATGCTCCAGCAACCCCCGCAAGCCAAAGATAAGCAGCTTAGAAAATGTGTGTGCGTGATATCTGGTTATGTGTGAAACCTGGGTTTCAAAACTTTGAATCAGATAGGAGCGATTGATTTTGCTTTTCAAATGATTCAGACTGAATATCGCTACTGTGATGTCCTCAAAGAGAAGGTGTTTTGGAACCTTCTTTATTAGGTAAACTCACTGTTATGGTGCCAGTTTTGGCTCCCGGGGGTTGGCCAGAGAACTGAGCCACATCTGCTGAGCACAGGATACGTCACTCACCAAACAAGCTGTCTTGCTAAATGCAATTTTTTGAATTGTGGAAATGCAATATTATGTTATTTAGCCTCTGTTTGATTTCTGTAAACTTTCGCTGGTGACAGGAAGTCACTGACCAATCATGGTCAACCCTGCTGTTGGCATGACAACAACCAAGTTGACAGAGCAGCAACCAGAACTATTTTTAGAAGCGACAGAAGTATTAGTTTCCCCTTTCCCTAATGCTCACACCATTAACCACTAAGATTATGTGTATGCAGATGAGCTAACACAACTCACACAAAGCCCCCAACCCACCCGTCACCACAATACACCTGCCATTTCTGCCGTTTCTGTTAGAAGACTTTTTCCAGTCTGCTATTATGCCTCCCTCCAAGTCCAGCATGTTTTCTTATTTGTAAGGCTGACCCAAATAAACTAAATACTGCAGTTTTTTTTCCAACTTGTTGGTTTTGGTTCTCTATTTAGTATTCAGAAGATTTTTCTTTTGTCCCCATTTAAGCTAAAGGTGCATGGATGAAATGATGAAAGCTCTCTAAATCATTTCACAATGAGAAAAAATGCTAATTGCAAATGTTGAATAAGACACTGGAATATAATGGAGGCATGAAACATTTGACAAATTATCTCTAATATGTACGTACAGTGGTACAGTAAATAAAGTAAGTCAGTAAGTAAGTAAGTCAGTAAAGTCGCTAAGTCGGTTAGTAAGTCAGTAAGCAAGTAAGCGAGTCAGTAAGTCAGTTAGTAAGTCAGTAAGTAAGTAAATACGCAAGTCAGTAAGTCAGTAACTAAGACAGCAAGTCAATAAGTACGTCAGTAAGTCAGTAAGTAAGTAAGTGAGTAACTAGTAGTAATAAGTAAGTAAGTAGGTAAGTCAGTATGTCAGTAAGTAAGTCAGTAAGTAAGTGAGTGATTAAGTAAGTAAGTCAGTAAGTAAGTGAGTCAGTAGGTAAGTCAGTAAGTTAGTAAGTAAGTAAATAAATGTTTATTGTGGATGGTTCTGGAGACTCTCGAGATTTAAATTTTCAAAGGGAAGGGTCAGAAATGCTGGCTGATGCAAGGGGGTCAGTTGAGACCAGAAGCTGTAACTCAGATTTTTGTACCGAACTTTTACAGTGTAATAATTCTAAAAATCACAGTCAACAAAACAACATTCACACTTCACACTCTGGTGCGCTTAGAGGTGATGTAACAACGCTTGGTGATAGAGAAGCATTTCCACCTGAAGACAGAAGCAGTCTGAGCTCAGGGCTCTGTGTTTAGACTACACCTCTGTGGATCAGCAGAGTTCTCCTCTCTGCGGAGGAAGACCGCCCCGGCATAAATAGATCGAATAGATCGTTTATTTAGCTGATAGAAGTTCACGTTTCGCATTAAAGCTCCACCGCCTGGGGGCAAATTAGTTGCTGAGAGCAAATTCATTTAGCCAGGGTCTCAGCAATTAGAGCTTACAGCAATTAAAGCGATTGGAGCTGAGTCTGGAGGAAGAGGAAGAGCAGTGACTGTTCAGTGACCCCACTGCAGAGAATAAAGGAGGAAAAAAAGAAAAGCAGTGGATCTCACTATCTAGTGCAGCCCAGAGGAGGATGGGTTCCCCTTTTAAGTCTTGGTTCCTGTCAGGGGTTCTCCCTCACATATACATGGAAACTGAGGTACATGCACTCTTAACGAAGATGGTTCCCCAAGGGTTCTTTAGTCAAGACAATGCTTCTATATAGAACCATGAACACTCAAAGAACCATTTGTATGCTTAAATGGTCCTATACATGGTGAAATGGTTCTTCAGATTGATGGAGAGTGTGCTGCATATCTTTTTGATAAGGTTCTATTTTTTCAAACTTTTTCAAATTTTCTTCTTTTTGTTGCTTTTGTTTCAAGCTTGACATCGTAATCATATACAACACATTCTCCATCAGTCAGAAGAACCATTTCACCACGTAAGGAACCATTTAATCATGCAAATGATAAGTGGTTCTTTGCCTGGTGAAATAGTTCTGATTGAAAATGATTCTATATAGCACCAAAAAGGGTTCTTCTACTGTTACAAGCATTGTAACAACAGCAGAACCCTTTTTGGTGCTATATAGAACCATTTGCAAAAAAAGTTCTATATAGAACCAACACATTGTCCATCAATCTGATGCGAAGAACCATTTAAGCATGTAAATGGTTCTTTGAGTGTTCATGGAAACCTTGGAAAACCACCTGTTCTAAGAGTGTGGAGTAGATGTGTTGATGTTGGAGTGGTTGGTGTTACCTGGCATGTGGACCATCCTGCAGTGACACTCCTGCAGAACCACTCGCGTCTCGCAGTGCAGACGGCAGGCGCTGATGCTGTAGGTGTCGTAACCCGGAATTATCTGCTCAGTGGAGGAGCGACAGTTTCCCCATGGCTGGGGCAGGTAGGTCAGCTACAGAGAGAGAAAGAGAGAGTGAGAGAGAGAGAGAAAAGGAAATAGAGAAAAACAAGGCCAATATCAGCGTTAAGCCGCATAGATCTCGGTATCAATATATATGGAAAACAGGAGGTGACAAACTCAATATTAGAAATAAATATGGCATTTAAGGATGTTTATTACTACAGAAACTAAAGCTCTCAGAGAGCGTCTGAAACACAGCAGCTCTGTAGACTGTGTGACTCTACAGAGAGAGTAATAGAGCAAAACACACAGTAAGACCATGACATCCTTATTAATTTCAATATTATTATTAATATATTAATGTTAATTTCAATAGGAAAACCTTGTATCTCCATTTTTCTTGACCATTTGAAAATACCTGTTGCTCTTTACAGTGTGTATAAATTTCATGATGAATGAACCAAAAGAAACAGCCCAAAATGACTTGTAAAAAAGTCTGGTTCCATTGACTTACATTAAAAGTAAAGTGGGTTTTTCCTTCTCCTGTAAAGTTACTTTTAGAGATACAAGGTTTTCTTCAGACAACAGTGATATACAGTTAGTTATTCTTTTCCACTCTTAGCCCAAATGTAATCAATCAACCAAGACATACTTGGTGTCTGACATTTGCTTATTTATTATTTTTTTAGAAATATGTCTTGTGTATGATTCTTAAATCAAGCAATTAAACTTCAGCTTGTGTCGCTGAATCTTGAAACTTTTTTGTTTTTATTTTAGTGAAAGAGAATGGAACAACATGGCATTAACTAATTAACTAATGTAGCGTATTTTACCAGAAAATGACTCAATTTTAAGATTTCTTGACTAATTCAGACATAAAAAACATAAAACATATTCATAATCAATTTGAGAATATACCACAAAATCAAAGAGAGAAACTAATAAATAACTTTTAAAACAAGACGCTTTTCATTTTCACACCTGAAGGTCCTGACCAGGTCCATGTTTTTGGTACATTCTATACATTTGATGCAGTTAGTGTTGGTTTTACATAACAGTTTAGCAAGTGAACTAAAGAACTCTGCATGACACACCTGCGTCCTGCTGATATCACCTGCGTGGGCTGCATCGGCCTCTACTTTACACCGATTGATTTGTAGAGGAGCGTCTGACGTCAGTGTGTTCTCTGTTTGGCAGGTGGCCTTGGAGAGAAATGGATATCCTCTCTCATGCTCTCAGAGAATGCAGGAGAAATTTCTGCATTTTTATGTGTTTTTTGAATTTGACTTTTGGACCAAATTACAGTAAAATATTTGGTCTTCTATTCTCCTCATGAGCTACTGCGGCTTATTTTTACTTCTCTCATGGTTCTTTTACTTCTTCTGTTGTTTAATGGCTGATGATGTCCTGCCTCAACTTCCTTTAACAGTGTTTTCACACTGCAAGCAAATTGAACCATGTTTCAGTTTGATCTGGACCGAGACCACCTCTTTTGGCTGGACCAAACTTTGGTCCTTTGGTCCGAGGCATACCTACTATTTTGGATCAGACCAAACTGACAAGTCCAAAGGTCCGGATCTAACAAGGTGGGTGTGAAAGTACCTTAATCTCATGATGTAAGATTGTAAATCTTGGCAAGCACAGAACAATTTGCAGTGTACTTTTTAGCTACATTAGCCTTGTAGCTCCAGATTTAAACTACAGGAGCAAACTTTAGACACCAGAGGTGCCTTGTCTGATTGATTACATCATTGGGAAAATTGGGGAAAAGTCTGATTTTTCACCAAACTATCACTTTAATGTACTCTGTGTGGGATTGTACGCTTTACCCTCTGCTCCTGACATGACACAAACGTCTGAAATCCAGGCGAAACCCCGAAGCCGAGCTGGTGGATGTAGGGGGGCTCGTCCTGACTGTGGATCTGAACACGAATACCAGCCTCCAGAGACGTCTCATCTACAGAGAGAGAGAGAGAGAGAGAGAGAGAGAGAGAGAGATTTAGAGATAAGGAGAACAAGGCCAATATCAGCGTTAAGCCGTGTGGATCTTGGTATCAATATATATGGAAAACAGGAGGTGACAAACTCAATATTAGAAATAAATATGGCATTTAAGGATGTTTATTACTACAGAAACTAAAGCTCTCAGAGAGTGAGCGTGTGGGAAACAGCAGAACTGTAGCAGTCAGTGCTGAATTATAGTTCTGCACCAGCTGTTCTGAGAATGTGTGCTCGTTGTCAGGGTGGCTGATATGATTTAAAAGGTATATCTTTATATTTTCAAGCCTTTTGGTGATAAACTATATACAGTCAAATGCAAAATTCTGAAAACCTCAGTTTAAGTTCATTTAGGTTCATTGGTTCTTGCATGGTGAAATGATTCTTCAGTCCTTAACATTTCTGCAAATTTTAGTGCACAACTTATATTTATTTTATCTAACATATTGGGAAAAAAAACAAAAACAAAAAAAAAACATAAAAGTTCCATAACTTTTGCACAGCCCACATTTTATGCTTTCCCCCCCCCAATATGTTAGATTCAGCAAATAAACAGTAATTCTGCATTAAAGTGAGCAGAACTGTTGTAACGTCCAGACAGCCTGCTAGGCCACCTGGCCAGAGAGCCAGGACTGAGTGATTAGGGCTGAGTGGTAGCAGCTGTGGGAACTCTACTTAAGGGGTGCTCACACACTGCTCGGCGCTCAGTCTTGAGTTCTCTGTGCCACGCGCAGGTTGCTCTGACTCAGCGGGTAATTATGGTGTCTTTATCAAGTTTCAAACCCTGTGCTTTTCCTCTAGTTGATTCCCAGTGTAAGAAAAACAAATCTCTTGAGTGTTCTCTAGCCCTCTGTGTTTAGGGAGAAGCGAGGGAGAGATTAAAGAAGGTAGAGTTCAGTTTTGGGGAGTTCCCTGTTTAGTTAGCATGGCCATCATCCCGTCAGTGGTGGGGTGTGTAGCATGTCAGTCTGAGATAATGGTAATTGAAGGTTTGATCCCCATGACCAATTACTTTCTTCGTTTTCTTTGTTTCCCTTTTTATTTTATTCCTCGTCCAACTTTCCTGCTCTTAGCCCTTTTTCTCTTTTTCAGCTTCATCTTTTCCCTGACCCTTAGTTGCTCTGCGCTTGAGCCCATCTCCTGTCCGAGTTTGATTCTCACTCAGGGCGAAACCCCTGGCGCGTAACAAGCGTCCTCTCTGTCAACAGAAGATAAAATTTGACCAGAGGGTCCTAACCTCTTGCACACAACTGTATATCTCAGTATTACTGCGTTCTGTATGAAAGGGCTCAAAGTTGTTGTTTTTTTCAGAACAGCCATAATTGGGTCTAAACAGTCTTTATAGATAGATTCAAAACATTTATTGCAATAAGAACTAATACTTTTAAAAGAATAGAATGCTTTTGTACTGCAGGGAGTTTTAGGCACTAAGGGCCAAAACGTGCCTGTGACATCATGCATGCAATATCACAATACGCCTGAATTAGATTCACTGAGTCTACAGCTAATCACACAAACAGCACAAAGTCCTGCCTATTGACTGAGCACTCATGAGGTGCAAGGTTTAAAACATGCAGCAAAAAAATGGGGTCATAAACAAGCCTGAGACCAAACAAAAAATGAAGGTTCAGTGGTAAAGACATTATGGTTTTAATAAAGTTCTTTTCCTCCAAAACACTCCACGGGATGTAATTCTACTTCAGATAAAAAACAGAATTCATGTCTGGTTTTAAAAGACAGAGATGTCCAATATCCCCACTCCTTTCCTCCTCCCTCAAATGCATATGCATGAGTAAGAGAAGTGCATTCTGCATTTCTCAATGCACATGGCCCATAAACCGTGGAATTATGCATGTTCACGAAACTGAATCTGGTGTTATCCACTGTGTAATCTATCCATATCACATGTTACATTAGCCACATTTGCATGCAGCTTAATGATCTGTTAATAATCTGACTAATGGCTCAATCGGAATAGAATACGTCCATGTGAACACCTCAATCAGAATAGAGTAATCCACCTGAGGCCATTCGGAATACACTTTCTATCCGATTGATCGAGGTGGGTAATCCTGTAAATAATCCGTTAAATAGAAGAATAATATCCGTGTAAACGCCTGTATCTGATTACATTCCCTATCGGAAAGTTTAAGTCCGTTCTGGTCATGTTCGTCGTGTCATAGTGAAAGTTTATACCGTTCAACATGGCGGAGCAGAAACTGGTCTGCAGAGGAGACGAAGTTTATGCTCTGATCTTTAAAAGACGACGGTGGGACGGACGTCCAGCTTATGTGTCTCAGAACACGACGTCTTCCTCTCGGCCTTCTTTAATAAAGACATGTGAAGGATGTTTTCCTGAGTCTGACATCATTTTAAAGTCATTAAAAACACAAGCACTGCTCACTGCTGCTCATCTCACTCTGACTGGACTCACGTGATGCTGGTTGTCACGTAACATCTACACTAAATGGCACATAATTGTGGATTGGATCACTTGTAGTGAGCATGTAAATGGAGGTTTTCCATCAGATTGTTGAGTAGAGTGAGAATAAACACCTCAGTCTTAATCTATAATCAGAATGTATTCAATCACGTTGGCAAAAATCTAAAATGCCATTTTCCATTATTGTTTTCATTTTGTTAAAGAGGCTTAACACAGTCATGCATGCAAGACAAGGAGAGTGACATGACTGTCACGGTCTTCAGGAAACGCAAGGGGCCACATTAAATTTGTATAAATTGCAAGTAAAATGCACATTAATGCATGTAAAATGTGCATAAGGAGGCATACGCTATGTGATATTCACAATGTTGCCAAATTTTGCATCTCACAAATCTGTCATCACAAATATATTGTAAATACTTGATACATTAACCAAACTAACATTACAGTAGGTATCTGCCATCTGCCCTCTGCTCATTAATGTAATGTACATCTTCTCAGAAGTATAAATCAGCCTTCACGGTCATTGTGGTTCATTGTCTGAGCATGTTTATCTCTCTCACTTGTCTCTCTCCAGATGGGCAGGTACTCGTCCTGTTGGATGTCCAGCATGATCTCCAGGCCGTTCCCCATGCCTCCCTGCTTCGTCTTCCTGGACGTCGTCTTGTTCCCATTGAATGTGTAGCATTTCCCATATCTCGTATAAACCTGCAAGACCAAACCAAACCATTAGAAAAATGTAAGAGTGGAATTGGTAGACATGATTATTGTTTCCAGACCAGTGCTGACACAAAACCACCCTTCCCTCATCACAAACAGGAGCGACACTTTTTAGTGCTATGTAGAACCCTTTTCAAAAAGATTCTATGTAAAAACCTTCTATAACACATTCTCAATCAATCTGAAGAAGACGGTTCTATATAGAACCCAAAAGGGTTCTTTAATCATTACAAGCTAGACATCATTTTAATAGACAAACCCTTTTGGTGCTAGATAGAACCCTTTTCATAAAAGGTTCTATGTAAAAACCATGTACAGCACATTTTCCATCAATCTGAAGAAGATGGTTCTATATAGAACCCAAAAGGGTTCTTTTATCATTACAAGCTAGACATCATTTTAATAGACAAACCCTTTTGGTGCTAGACAGAACCCTTTTCAAAAAGGTTCTATGTAAAAACCATCTACAGCACATTCTCCATCAATCTGAAGTAGACGGTTCTATATAGAACCCAAAATGGTTCTTCTATTACTAAAAGCTTGACATCATTTTAATAGACGAACCCTTTTGGTGCTAGACGGAACCCTTTTCAAAAAGGTTCTATGTAAAAACCATCTACAGCACATTCTCCATCAATCTGAAGTAGACGGTTCTATATAGAACCCAAAATGGTTCTTCTATTACTAAAAGCTTGACATAATTTTAATAGACAAACCCTTTTGGTGCTATATAGAACCCTTTTCAAAAAGGTTCTACGTCAAAACCATCTACAGCGCATTCTCCATCAATCCGAAGAACCATTTCACCTTGCAAATAACCCTTTAATCTAGCAAAGGGTTCTTAGAGTGTTTACAATTCTACATAGAACTGTTTTCTTCACTACAGAACCCTTGAAGGACCATCTTTTCAAGAGGGCCATTATTAATAAAGCAGTTCATCACATTTACACATTATTAACATGTTGACTTTGACACTGTTACTGTGAACACAGCATGAACCCCAGTTCTTCATATCTCTGAGATTGTTCTTCTCATTCATTAGAACAAAAGAACTGAGTTCTAGCAGAAACACCCCACACTGTCCAATATTCCCACACAGTGACACTACAGATCCAACCAGCACAGTCACCAGGAAAACAACACATGCAGAGAGCAGGTTTATTCCAGGGAATTTCTGGGATCAAATCCATTATGAAGAGTGAAACTGATACTTCTGTCTATGTAAAACTGCCACCCTCAAACGAATATGATATCAATTTCATAAAGCATTCAAAAACAGCCCTTTAAAATGACCGCATCCAAGTAAGAGCTCATGTTGGGTTGTGCTGATAAGGGCAGCGCAGACTCAAATTTAATGGCTTCTTAAATGCAGACAGTAAAAGCAAACGCTCTCTCCATAATCCACAAACGGCAGAAAAAGAAAAAGCCTGTCATCTGGTTGTTTATAGCTTTTGTCTCTCTTTAAGTTAAAGGTGACATGAAGACTATTATTCAAGCGCTTGGTCTGCACGCTGCCCGGACACTCTAATGAAACCCCCAAGACTAAAAGGCAAAAAACACTGACAAACAAATGTCAAGAAGGAACAGATCGGTGGAAGAGAGCGGGAGGATGACAGGGTAATAAACGGACACAGAACCAAAACAAAAACAGCCCCTGCAATCACAACAAGAGCTGTGGAGGAGCCTCTGCACCCGAACACTGGCATCAGGCTAATCTTGACATACAGTGACGGTGATGTATAAATGAAGGGGTACAGTTACACATACACACATACACTGGTTTTCATACAATGTTAGGACACGGCGGTCATACATATATTCCATATGGATTACACAGCACTGCACAAAACCACCCTCCATTTATTTGAAAACATATATTTACCAGAAAATGACACAAAAGTCTCAACAGCTAAATATGATATAGATGTTTCAGTGAGTCACTGTTTCCCTTTATTCCAGCTTCCATTCTTTTCAGGAGACTCACTTTCAGTTCCTCAAAGAATCTGCAGACACACCTCCAAAGTTCAGTCTTAGAAGCTGGTTGATCATTTTCTGGGGTGGTCAGTCCATCGTTCAGCTTCTTTGTTTGATGTGTCCGTCTCCTTTTCTCAGGGAGGTTCTTCTTGACAGCTACACATCCTTTCAGACCCACAGCGCTGAGTCGTCTTCTCACAGTGGAAGGATGGACAGAAACACCTGTGGATGTTTTCAGATCTGAAGCAGCTTGATTTTCTCCTCTCTCTCAGAGATGAAAGCTTTAAGTGCTGTTTATCTGATGGGGGCAGTTTTGTTGTCTACCAGGTCTTCCAGGTAACTGTTAGGAGCCACATTTTCTCTGTAGCTTTTAATCTTTTTTCCACTGGAGTAAACTCCAGCTCACCCCTGTTGTTTCCACTTATTTTCCATTTTCTCCATCCTTATGCAGTTGTTTCTGAACAATGGACTGACCGCCCCAGAGTCCAAACCTCAACATCACTGAATGTGAAGTAATTGGATGGTGGGAAGCAGAAAGTCCAAACCAACTTCTAAGATTGAACTTTGGAGGTAGTAATAGTATGCAGTAGCTAATATAAAGAAACTATTTTTCACTCAACTTATTATGGAATTTATAATGCAAAACAGTGTATAAAAGTGGAAACAAAGAACGAAATGAGAGCATTTTCACTAGAGCTCTCAGACTTATGAACCCGACTGTATCAACATATAATAATAATAATAATAATGCATAATTAGAATTTTTAGTCTCACATTTATTTGGATAGCCCCCAAAAGATTATCTATAGATGTTCAATTTACTACAGAAGTCCGGAAACGCCATTACCTGTTGCTATAATATTCTGGATTGTTATCTTGAGATAACGAGTTAAATATTTTGTGATCTCAAGATAATAACTTTAACTTGAGATCACAAGACAATGAACTCATTATCTTAAGACAACAACGTTGTTATCTCAAGACAAGATAATTAACTCATTATCTAAAAATAACAACTTTCGTTATCTCAAGATAACAAGACAATTAGCTCATTATCTCAAGATAAATCCAGAAAATTGTAACTACCTCATGGACTTTAGAGGGAACACTACACTTTTAAAAAAGATGGTTCTTCAAGGGTTCTTTAGTAAAGGAAATGCTTCTAAAAAGGACCTTGAACACTCAAAGAATCCTTTGCATGATTAAAGGTTTTTGATTAAAGGTTTTTAAGAATGTGCTGTAGATGGATGAACCTTTTTGAAAAGGGTTCTTTATAGCACCCAAAAGGGTTAATCTATTGTTATAATGCCAAGCTTATAACAATATACCCTTTTGGGTGCTCTACAGATGACGTGTATCTCAGCCCCTCTTCATAGGCTTATAACTCCGGATGTGAGTCTCGTATGACCTCGAGATAAGATGGAATGGAAACGGCGACTCTACAGATTCAGGAAGTGTTTGAACTGGATTTCTGTGCTTTATTATCACAAAGAGAGAGAAGCAGTTATAGAAACAGAGAATTTAACACACTGGCGAGCTCTTGGACCACAGAGGGTTAATCTTAACCCTCGTTGGGTAAAATGTGGCACAGCTGGAGTGGAACACAGGAACACACCCCACAGCTGCAGTTAACGACCAAAAACACCCCAATCGCACCACACAGTGCGAATGCAGCAGCAGGTCATTTAGGATCAGAAGACATTCATATAAACACACATCAGTGCCTCTGTAAACAAAATTACCCGTTTAGAGAGGAGCTCTGCTGAAATATCTAATTATCACAGTAATTATGTACTGTAGCATCCATAGTCTGCAGAAACTGTTTAGAGATGAGAAGTGAGGTCGGGGAGTAAACGCACTGCAGGACTCTAACAGTGAACTAACTGCCCTGTTCAGCTGCACCTGCCATCAATTCAGACCCGTTACTTACACTTCCATTCACACTCTTAAAGCAGCGTTCCAATGTGTTTCCCAGTTTTCCGGATTTTCTAAACGATGTTGGATGTTTTTATGTGAAATGTGTGCTTTTTAAATAAGATACAGCAAGAATGACCTCCCATAGACTCCCACTGTCAGAGAACAAGACAGCAAGATTACATTTACTAACTCCAACATCTCCAACACAATTCAGTGAATAAGTCACTTCACACTGACCTTCCTGTCAGGTGGGGGAACACTTTCATGGTCAGAATACACGCTAGCAAGCTAATAGGGGGATTCAAGACATTAAAATACCCTTTCAGAATTTATATAATATCCTGAAAATGTGACAACACTGAGCTGGTTTTGTGCTTGGAGTTGCACTATTTTGTTCTCAGAACTGGGTGCATAGGTACTGGTCATTTTTGTGTTATATCTAACTTAAGACACATAGAAAGAAAGAAAGAAAGAAAGAAAGGATCACAAAGACAGACAGAAAGTAAAACAGAAAGGATGAAAAAGGAAAACGAAAGCAAGTAATTAGTGAAAAGGGGAATTCAGAAAGTTAAGAATTAAAGAGAAAATAGGAAAGCAGGAGAGAAAGAAATGGAATAGAAGTAAGCAATTAAGCAAAAAGGGAGAAGTAACAAAGAAATAAATGATCGAAAAGATAGACAGAAAGTGAAAAAGAAAGAATGAAAGGAAAAAAACAAAGCAATTAAGCAAAAAAGGGGAAGTAAAGGACGAATGAAAGGAAAAGAGGTAGTAAAAACGTTAAGAATGAACGGGAAAATAAGAGAACAAGAAAGCAAGAAGAAAAAGAACCAAAAATGGAAGGAAAGAATGAAACGAACAAACAAATAAATAAATAAATAAAGTTTTTGCAGTGCAGTAAAAGTGTAGATTTCTGAAGACGTAGATTCATATTGCATTTTTGTACTTTCTACTGCTCAACCTGAGATTTCCTGCCATGTCGCTCAGGCCTCATCTCAGAGCCTGAAAGCGGACTTTCCATCATTCTTGCTTTATTTGCTTTATTCTGTATTACCTGCTAATGTGGACAGCATTCCAATTCCAACTCCAACTGCAGGTCA